CACCATAGCACATACATTCCCCAATGTCCATATCCCCATCACCCTCTCCCGAACCCCTCCCCCCAGCAACCCTTAGTCTGTTTTTTGAGATTGGGTCTTTTATGGTTTGTCTCCCACCCGATCCCATATTCTTTCATTTTTTCTTTTCCTACCCCCCAAATCCCCCATGTTGCATCGCCCCTTCCTCATATCAGGGAGCTCATATGATAGTTGTCTTTCTCCAATTAACTTATCTCACTAAGCATGATACCCTCTAGTTCCATCCACGTCATCACAAATGGCAAGATTTCATTTCTTTTGATGGCTGCATAGTATTCCATTCTGTATATATACCACATCTTCTTTATCCATTCATCTGTTGATGGACATCTAGGTTCTTTCCATAGTTTGGCTATTGTGGACATTGCTGCTATAAACATTCGGGTGCACGTGCCCCTTTGGAGCACCACATTTGTATCTTTAGGGTATATATCCAGTAGTGCAATCGCTGGGTCATAGGGTAGCTCTATTTTCAGTTTTTTGAGGAAGCTCCACACTGTTTTCCAGAGTGGTTGCACCAGCTTGCATTCCCACCAACAGTGCAGGAGGGTACCCTTTTCTCCACATCCTCGCCAGCACCTGTCATTTCCTTACTTGTTAATTTTAGCCATTCTGACTGGTGTTAGGTGGTATCTCATTGTGGTTTTGATTTGTATTTCCCTGTTACCTTGAACCAGGCACAGGCTGGGTGAGCTCGGAGCGCGGCCAGAGACCAGGGAGACAGAGTGATTGAGCGCTTTTCTCCAAGCACGCGGCTGGAGGCCAGGGAGGCGGAGCGACCAAGTGCTCCTCTCCAAGCACGCGTGGCTGGAGGCTGGGGAAATGGGAGTAACCGAGCGCTTTTCTCCAAAAACATCTTTTAAGAATGAGAATAAAAGGGGCTCCTGGGTGGCTCAGTCAGTGAATTGTCTGCCTTCAGCTCAGGACATGATCTCAGGGTCCTGGGATGGAGCCCCACATCTGGCTCTCTGCTCAGTGGGAAGCCTGCTTCTCTCTCTCCCTCTGCAGCTCCCCTGCGTGTGCTCTCTTGCTCTCTTTCTCAAATAAATAAATAAAATCATAAAAAAAAAAAAAGAATGAGAATAAAATAAAAAATATTTCATAGATTTCATAGTAAGAAATAAGTGTTATAGAGCCTCCGGACACTAACTATAAGAAAGTCCAATACATGTATCTCACATGGGGCCATCATGCCATATGAAAGCTGACTTCTAAAAACCAAGTAGGAGGAAAAAAAAAAAAAAACAAAATGAGTGAACATTAACACAACACTGTAGAGAACAGGAAGTCTGATTTGCGAGAAGAGAACAAGGTAGAAGTAATAAACTGGACAAAAGTATCTTATAAAATTTCATAGTATGAATAACGGTCAAGTCTTCTCAGCTTCAGTACTTGTTACATTTCACTGCAGACTTTATTAACTCCCAAAGCTAAACTGGGATAATAATCAGGAAGAACTTCAGGAGAAAAAAATAAAAATAACAAGAACAAAATGATAAAAAATAAATAAAAATAAACGAAACCAAAGGTAAAAAAGGAATATATAAGAAACAAGGAAGAGTGAATAAAAAAAGTGACATAAATACACAGTCTTAGGGACAAAAATTATGAAACTGGATCTTTAAAAACGTCCTTTAAATGTGGTATAAAAGTGATAAACATAAGGATAAAGAAATGTTGAAATTCAGAAGGTTGTAGGAGAGACGTAGCAGGCGAGGGATCAACCACAGAGCTGGCTAGGTTGAACCAATATCCATCGTATCGCAAGCTAAGGAACACTCACCTGGAGATAAAGGAGGCCACTACCTCACTGTCTAGTTCCATTGAGAAGAAAGACACACGCATAAATGCATCATGGCTTCAAGTAGCCACAGAGCATGTAAAGCCAACTTTACCAGAACTGCAAGGAGAAATAAACTGACCCACTGTCACACTTGGAGACCTGAACACACCTCTCAGAAGGTAATAATCAGAAAACAAAAAATTAAGCATATAGAAGATTAACCAAACACATAACAAGCATCACCTAAAAGATATATAGAAAACACCACATGCGACAATTCCAAAACAGACATTGTATTCAAATCCACGTGAAACATAAAACAAAACAAACAAAAAAAAGAGACTACACTCATGGCTGTAACTGCTCTCTACACCAAATTTCAAAGTTTTTATCATATAGATGACATTTTCTGACCAAATTAGAATAAACTTAGAAGGATTATCTTCCCACATAAAGTAGAAAATTTCAAAATTATTCTTCTAAGAAACTCAGGAATCAAATAATGGGAAACAGAAAATTCTGTGAATTGAATAACCATGAAAATACTTAGAGAAAACCAGAAAAAATGTATACCCTTACATGTTTATTTGAGAAAATGAATGAAGAACCAAATGCACAAGCTTATCAACCGATACACATTAGAAGCTTACAAACAAAGTACATCTTCTTCACCGAAATACAGAAGGTAGGAAATGGCCAAGAAAGGACTACCAATCGATGAGTCAAAACAGACATATGACAGTGGGTCACAAAAGCCAATCTCTGACTCTTTCAATATTTGCAACTGAATGAACATCTGAAATAGGTCAAAGAGAAAATCAGGTAAGGCACAAAAATATCAGGAGTCCAACATTAGGCCATCCTACAACAGGCTGCAGACATTAAAAGGGTAAAATAAAAGTCATAACTTTATACCAATAACCTTAAAAAATTAGAAATGAAAAATTCTTAGAAAAATGTGACAGTAGCTAGGATATATGAAATTATAACTCAGGAAAAAAGCAAAATGTATTGCACCACAAAATAAAATTTTGTTTAAAAGGAAAATATTGTTTTTACAGGTATCAGAGAGAGTGTTTCTATAATCAGACTAAGCCTACCGTCCATTTTGTTTATCAAGGACACTCCTGGTCCTGACTAGTGTCCATCCCTCCCTGTGCCTTAATGGCCTCCGTGTCCCTCCACCAGATGGAAAAGAGGAAGAGGAAATACTCAGCAGGCAGCAAAGACCACAACTTCCTAGGGGGAGGCTCCCACCCTGCACAGGAGTGCCTGGTGCAAATATAGTGAACAGGACAGTGTTTAGGGGAACCTAAGTGAGGACAGAGTAGCTATCCTATCTGAAAACAAATCCCAATTCCTGAGCTTGTCAGTGCAGAACACCAACACCATGGACCACACTGGCCAACAGAACACTCGAGCCTCCCCTCCCCTTTAGCCTCATGTGTGCACTGACTGGTTCGTACTCCCTGAGAGAAAGCTGGTTCCCAGAAGTTCCTCAGAGGTCTAAGTGGGGTTATTGGTCATCTACCCAATCTCTTCCCCTGTCCCTTGACATGGAGCATCTCAGAACATTCCTTGACCTGCACATGCAGGCTCCACAGAGTTTCCTGTCTCTGCTGACTCTCTGGCAGCCACCATGTGTGCAAGGACATGGTGAGTCCACACCAGCCCAACCCATACCCCAAGCGCCCCCTAGGAGGCCCTCCTTCCTCACTGTGGGTATTTCTGCCCTCCCCTACATATCGTAAAAATTTCGGGGTCTACAAGACTACAAAAATAATCCAGAATGCAGGGGAGGGGAGCTCACCAAGTGGGAAGCAGAGGAAGGATTAGACTGCTATGTGGGTTGCTAGAAGGCTACATTCAGGACCACGTGTGAGTGGCTGGATGGGCAGATGGAGAGCACCCCTTCAGCTATCTGTGTGCTCCTTGGAGAAAAATCCTCAATCCTCACCACCCCCCTCACTCCATCGCGATGGAGTCTTTAAAGACCTCTGGTATCTGTCTCACTTCATACATACACAATGGGCCAACACATGCAAAAGAACAATTAGAACACTTGGGACCTCCGAAAGGCAGAGGAAATGACCAGCGTGCCCAAGGATCTCAATCTCTACCTGCCAGGAGGCACCCTGGTCAGAGACACAGCAGAGAGCAGCATCTCTTGAAACTCTCTCACCACAAACAAAGCCCCACAGTCTCTTTCTCAGAGATGCTTGAGTCCTGCTCACAGAGGAGGGTCCTGTTCTCAATGGGAGAATGGGTTTCCCACCGCAGCTGTCACTGGTGTCCCTCCCTCTCTTCGCAAACAGCCTTTCGCTTCCAATCAGAGAGGTAATCTCTGCCAAGCAGCCATATCCCCACTGTTCCCGCACCCAGCAAGAGACACGTGGAGGAGAGGGGGCAAACAGACAGAGAACACACACACCCCCGCAGACGAGGGTCTCTCTGTTACTACTGCTCTAAATTTGCCATACTATTGTTTTCAGTTTGTTTTCCCATGCTTACCACACTCTGCAATCAGGTATTGACCTGTTTACTTGTTCATGATCATTATGTTCCCCACAGCCAGCCAAGGACTAGTCAGACAAGCCCGCTGCTATAGCTCCAGTTCATAGCGAGGGCCCTGGCACAAAGCATGGATTCAATCAATATTTGGGTCAGCAATTAAAATTATCTTCCTGTATCTAACCACCTGCACAAAGCATTCTCCTCTTCCCTGAATTAATCAGCTCAGCATGTTTGATTCATATGAATTTGGACGAGCAACCCATGAGGCTCCAGGCCAGGGCCCCTTTCCATCTGCACCCTCTCTATTCACACCAGTCCCAGCACCTGTCATATTGCTGGCTTCAAGTGTGGCTCTTCCCACCAACACAGGAACAGGAAAAAGATAACTAACAGACCTCTAGGGCTCTTAATCAACAGAATCCAGAGCCCACCCCCATCTAGGTCATGGTCAGAAACCAGACTGGTCAGGAATTCCTAGTCCATCCTGCAATAGGGTGGGACTAGGGGGTTCAGGAAGACAAAGAGGGGTTAGCCCAAGGCAGCTGGGTACAGGATGTAGCGATAAGCTTCAGCCATAGATTAATCCTTGTTCCTTCCCATCTTCTGCCCCTCTGTGAAAACAGAGCTGAGAGACAGAGACCAAAGGTCCTCCTTCTTTCCATACCTGCAGTCCAGGGACACCAGAGTCCAGTGTCTGACCTGCTCTAGGTTCCTTTCCCATGTTGTTGTCCCTCAGGAAGCCCAGGTGAGCTCAGATCTCCAGCAGGCTGTGGGCCATCAGCCTTGGGGACAGAGACAGGGTATGGGTGGTGGGTGAAGCCTATCTCCCAGCTTCTTTCTCCACCTCCCTGGCTCCCAGCCCATCTCTCATTCACCTTGGATGGCATACCCCTGTCTTCCCCTATGGTATCCCCAGGGTTCTGTTTCTGGGGCTTATCCTTAGAAAGATCCAGCATCTGTGGCAGCTCTGTCTCTGCCTCGGGAAATGGCAGCTGCCCCTGCAGAGTGTATAACAGCTGGAGGAAGGTCTGGTGCCTGGAAGGAGAGGGATAAAGAGAGTTGTAAAGAAGGGAAACTGGACTGGGCTGAGTCTGCAGCTCACACTCCCAGCCTCACCTGTGAAGTGTGTCCCTCTTCTGCCCCGCCTGCTGTTGCAGACTTCCAAGCTCCTGAGACAGTTGCACAAGCTCCTGCTGAGCTCCTCTCTGCCGCTGCCTCACCTCTGCAGAGGCTTCTGCCAGATGCTGTAGATGCTTCTCCTACCGGGAATGAGAAGGCAAACGTGGCTCCTTGGATGCGCAGGTCTTACAGCCATTTTCTTAACCCCTCCAGGCTAGACCCGACTTGGGGCTCAGACCCACAGATGGAAAGGGGGACCCTAGCCGCTTTAGGCAAAACCGGGGCCCTAGAGAAAAAGGAATGAGCTATTCCAGTGGAAAGCATTCTGAAGAAAAAGGGCACAGATAGGATAACTTATCTGGCCTGCTAGGTGACATGCGGCCCTGTAAGCACTTGCTCTGCTAACAACTTCATCAACTGAGATCCACACGGTAGGTGCTAACCTCACTTCCACTCCAGACAAGACTCAGATGCACAGGAAATGAGGGAACTGCCCAAACTCCTAACACGGGATGTGGTGATGCTGGCCCCTGTGCGATAATGCCTCACACGAGAGGAGGGGAAAGGAGGTCCTCCAGGCAGAGGATTTAGCTCATGCAATGACATGGTGGTGGGGAAAGGAGATTTTCTTAGGGATGTGGACCCACCTGTTGCAGCTGCCACTGCTTCTGGGCTGTTCTCAGTCTCTCCGTGGCCACTTGCTTCTGCAGGGAAACAAAGGAGAGGAACAAGGAGAGGAGGAGTGTTTTTCTAGTTGGATTCTGGGAGGTGGCCAGTAGGCTCAGCCCAGCATGTGTGCCCTTTCCCTCCTCTCTGCCTGACCTTCTCTCCCCTCAGCCTGGCTCACCTTGGCCTGGAGCTCTTCCAGGGCTCCGAGGAGCTGTGCCCGCTTCCTCTGGGCCTCCACCATCGTGGGCAAAGCCTGGGTCAGGGCACCTGTGATGGCTTCCACATGCTCCTGGTAGGAGGCCTTCAGCTCTTTCCACTGTTCCTTGGCTGCAAGTGCCTTCTGCCCTGAAAGGATCCACCAAAGATAAGAACATAAAGGAGACTAACCTGCCTGCCTACAACATTGGGACCTCTGCTTTCCCATCAGCTGACCCTACTGACAGCTCCTTCCTTCCCCATCCCACCCCACTGCCTACTCACGGCTGATGTCTTCAGAAGCCAAGGGGTCTAGTCCCTGGACAACGTCCTCCTGAGCCAAGAAGTTCTGCAGGAAGTCTACTACCTGAAGCTGGCTGCAGAGCAGCTTGTCCTTCTTCCTGGAGTCCTGTTTGGAGAGCAGGCAAAGTCAGGGAACATCATTACCTGTGTGCCCTGGCATGCTGAGACTGCCTTCCTGGGTGCTCACCATCCCCACCACCCACTACCCCCACGAGAGGAACCAGGAGAGCCGCGGGCAGCCAATCTTGCACATACCATCACAAACTCCGCCAGGATCTGGGCCGGCAGCTCTGCCTCTTCTTGCCGGCCGATGGGCTCCACGATGTCTGCCAGCTTGGCCAGGGCCCTGAGCGAAAGAAGACGGGGGAAAAGGGAGACTCCTTGGGTGCTAATCCTGGCCAAATGGAGTGCAGACACATACATAGACCTGTACCAATGATGTTGCCCTGACCGGTAGGCCTTGCAGAGCTGTCCGGGAGCAGGAACGGCGTGTGCATAAAGGCAATACACGCCCTGAATAAGTTAAGCAGAGCAAGGGGAGTCGGGGCAGCACAGGGACAGGAAGACAAGGGGCCCCCGCTCCGACGTGCAGAGGGAGTCCCAGGCAGGTAGCAATCTGGGGCAGGGTCTGAGGAGGACGGTCCAGGCTCTCCGGGTCCTTCCCCCCTGGGGGCTAAAGCGCCCCCAGGCAGGCAGGGGTGGGGAAGTGTGCGTGGACAGAGGGGACAGAGACGCTAAGTGACCCTCCCACACGCGTCCTGCGTGGGCGCAGCTAACCGCGAGGGGACGTGGAGGTGAGCGGGGACATGCCGGGGTGTGCGCGCGCGGGGAGAGGGAAGTCCCTCCCGCAGTCGCCGAGGCCCGCACAGCTGGGTGCCGGGACCACTGGGGGTCCGCGTGGTACGGCAGGGTCCTCCCCTCCCGCCCCCGGCTGTGACCTAGCTTACTCTAGCCCTGGAGCTCGCGCCCCGGCTTCCGGCCCCTCCATGTCTGCGGCCGCTGGGCTTCTGCTCTTCCGCCGCCAGCCCGCAGTGCCCTTTGGATTCGCCGCGGCTGCGCGCCTGGGCAAGCGATTGGCTGAGGGGCCAGGGGGCGGGAACCAAAGGCCAGCGTGCACTCTGATTGGTAAGCGCTGACGAGCGAGCCGTTGGAACGCCGGATGTTTGCGCCGGCGCCCTGGTGGCCGGCGCGCCGAGTTCTGCGCCTGCGCGCAGCCCGTGGCCGGTGCTGTAGGCTGCGAGCGTTCTGTGGGCCAGTACGAGGAAGCGCGGGTGCTTCCCACTTGACGGGACTTGGAGACTAAGTTTCTGAGTTCGGGGTTTAGGGGAGTCTTTAAGCCCTGAGTTCACTTTAAAAATGTTATTATGTTGTGGTAGAGGGAGAACAGGGTGTGCTTTTCCAGACGCTTGGCATTCTTAGGAAAGAACGGGGATCCTAGAGGCGCAGGGGGCCGCTGATTGCTGCGCCGGAACCCGTCGCTTTCTGACGGACGTGTCCGAGGATGCGTCTCCCCGACCCACCAGTGCCCGCTCGCCGCTCCGGGGCTCCGCCCGCCGGCCGGGATCCGCCCGCAGGTCAAGCCGGGGTCCGCCCCGGGCCGCGGCGGAGAACCTGTTCCGCGTTGCTCTGGA